GTAATGAACTTTGAGGAATCAATTATATTATTTAAATCCAACTTTTACTACATGACCATACTAATTTTTTCCTTTTAATTATAACCTTATTCATTTCAGGTGAATCATCCCTTTAATTTCCCTAATACGAACCTTCAATAGGGACTTAAAGTATGGGACTATTCTAGTGCTCCCATGCTCGATGTTCATATTAATTTCCTTGTGATCAGGCACACACCTTGCCAACTAAATGACTTATTGATCAGTACTAAGGGGTACTAATCCTCCATCCAAGTTAGTCTCTTGGATGATGAAATGATAGAACATTATACCTCCATCATTTTATCTTAAAACTGCCATCATATCATCTAACTCGAGGACTAAAACACATTTATGTCCACAAAATCAAAGTAATCCTCTAGCCCTTCCATGTATGACCTTCCAGGAAGCGTATTGGTGAACCCACATCCATGGTTTATCTTGAATGTGCAAAGGCTTGCTACAGAACCTAAGGCGAAAGTTCAAGAAATAGATGTTACGGGTAGAAGGAAATAAAAAGTTAATACAAATATCATGTCGTCTGAAACTCAACCCCTCTACTACCTTAATATTTAGAGACGTTCATAGGTAAAATGACAAAAATGTCCTCATGTTAATGGTGCATCAAACGAACATCCAAATTAATGGTTATTTTTCTTAAAGGTTTGCTCTGTAGGGATCATCCATGCAAAAAAAATGTTTAATAGGGATTACTTTAGGAACAAATGAAAAACCTTATGGATCATCTGTAAAATTATGTCTTTAAAATAGGAATGTTTCTAAAATAAAGATTTTAAGTTGATCAATAATAGATTATCATATTTATAAATTTTCTTCCTCAACAAATTTTGATCCAAGAGTTTTCATCCCTCATAATTTTGAAATTACTTATTGGTATTTTATATGTTATGATTTTGATTATTTGTTATATGTTAACGTTATATTTTTTATCATTTATATAATTTTTTTTTATAGTTTTCGTTTCTATTACTATTATTTTTAATTTTAATATATATTTAAACCGATAAAAAGACACAATATAACATCTAAAATAAATTTAAAAATATATAGTACCTCTTATTATTTGAAATTTGATTCTTCAAGAAATTCTTTTGACTTTCCCTACAATTTTTGGGTGAATTGTATCTGTATGAATAGAAATAAGTCAAATAACCAACATGGTTGTTTTTATACCACACAATGTTTAGATAAATAGTAATAAATATAATAACCGATTCTATTCAAAGTATCGGTGTATCGCAGTATCGGTACATCATTGAATTCATTGAATGAGTCATAAATTGTTCTTTTTCTTTCATGGTTACTATCCACGTGTCCTTTTCACAGTCCTTTTCACTATTACATAGTGACTAATCTTTTTATTTCTTTAAGGCTGTTGTATGTTTTTTGAAAAAAAAAATATTGGATCTTTTATCGTTGTACGGCGGAACACACGCGCAACACTTTATCTTGCAACTGTTTATTTTTCAGAAAATTTCGGATTAAAAAACATTTGCGCATGTTCTTCTTGTCGCAGCACTAAAATATTGATTATATATGGCTGAAATCTTATTTCATTTTTTTTCGTTTTTTCTTCTTGTTGATTTTTTTTATATTGAATAATAATAATTTGTTGATCAAATAGATTTATTGATGCTAAAATATTTTTATTTTTGTTAAAATATCATTATTTTTTTACTAAAATAGCATAAATTATTGCCAAAATGTCATACAATATTAAATTTTCGATATTAAAAAACTACTTTCGGATTATAAAATCAGTTTACTTTATTTTTTAATATCTGCAGCAGCATGTAAATGTTAAAAAAACAAACACGCTTCTTATTAAAGTTTCCAGTCATTTGATCCACCTCTTATACTGCAGAGGGTTGCAGAGGTGATCCGCAAATTTTATGGATTTTAGCTTCAGAAAAACAAACAACATAAATTAAAAATATTTCAATTGCAAAATAAATAAGGAGCAAAACAAGATAAATAAACGATCCGATCAAATATATATTATTATGGTTTTAGAGAAAATAACAATATCTATGTGAGCAAAACAAGATAAATAAACGATCCGACCAAACAATATTATCATGGTTTTAGAAAAAATAACAATATCTACATGAACACCATAATAGAAATGTATTGAATTAGCAGCAAAGCAAATAGTAAGCATTATTTATGAATGCTCTATTTTGTCTCTGCTTATGAAAGATATATAGACACAATAGACATTGCTACGTAAAAGACTTCGTTCGGAGAAATCAAAGAAATATATATGACAAATACAAAATTAAAGAAAAGAAGTAAAGAACACATGAATATTCTATTACTAGGGGAATATCCACGCGTTGCGCATAATAAAACTATATCGTTAAAGTATTTACATATACATATTGAAAATAATAAGACATTAACTCTAAAATAATACTTTTACATTAAATTGATATATAAATTTATTATTATTTTGAATCATATATATATATATATATATATATATATATATATATATTATATATATATATATATATTAACTAGCATCTACTAATAATTTGTGTTTAAATAAAACTAAATATAGTTTTTATTTTAGTATTACAATTTAACATTATGATTGATTAATTTAAAAATTATTTATTGCGGTCACGATGATTAATTGATTTATAAACCAATGTTTGTAAGTTAAGGCAATGTAATTTTTTGTTTTACTTAATTAACAATCATTTATTCGGAAAATTTGAAATATAATAAATAATAGTTTTTTTAATATCTTTTATTTAAATTGACTTTTCGTTCCAAATTTACAATATTTTAAACTTTTAAACTATTTTAGTAGGATATTATTATATTTTTTTAAGTTTATTCTATATTTTGATTCACGTTTTGGATTTAATAGTATATCTAGATTAACAAATAAATATATTATAATAATCGTTTTAAAATTCTATCAATATTAAGATAATATTTTATATTCAATAATATATGATGATATAAAAAATAATAATGGGTGGTGAACGCCTTGACTTGGTTTGATCACATCACCAACAATATACAAATATTTTTATTTTAAAAGAATAAGAATATAAGAAAAAGAATGCGGTATTGCGGTCCATTTCCCATAAACCAGCTCGTGAGAAAAGAAAGCCAAAAAGGTTGCTAGGCTGTGCTTCTCTCACCGATATATGTCATTTTCTTGGTGGGTGTTTTATTGAATTTTTATAAACATTTAAATGTATAAAAATCCGTTTTGTAAATAAAAATATGAACTAAATACATCATTTTTTTCTTTACAAATATTTTATATAAGTAGATAATAATAATAGCAGTTTATTTTATTTTCAGTTTATACACAACATTTTTTCTTAAATATAGTCTTAGTTATAAAGAATAATATGTTATTATAAAATTTTGGTTTAAATACGATTGGGAATAAAATTTCAAAAATAAAATTTAATTGACTGATACTCATAAAAGAAAAAGAAATTACACCTTTAATTAAAAAAAAAAAAGTTGTGTGTATGTTAGATATCAACAATTAATCTTAATATTTGTTAGAGAATGGTAAAACTCCTACCACTCCATTTTTTTAATATATTTTCTAATTTAACTTAATTATTTTATTTTAATAACATTCTTTTTATATTACACAAACACTTTTTGATTTAATTAATATGGCATAATTTTTTTAATGACACACACTTCATATTAAATAAAAACGATTATAATAATTTAAAGCTTGATTTAATACTATTTTAGACCTAAAACACAATTTAATACTACCTAAATCGACCTAAAACTTACTTAAGATGTAAAACACGATTTAATCTCAGTTATATTGTTTTGCAAGGTCATTTCTTGCATTGTTGAACACCCAACGATCATCATCGTACAAGTTTTTCCTCGGTTTTAACCAAAGCTTCAATGCATGTTTTTTTTCCTTTCTAATTCTAAGAAAGCATCAAGCTTATTGTCCAACCTTTGGAAATCGTCCCTAATCTCCTCCACATCAGTCGATGAGCTTTGAGCACCTTTAAGCTTTTCTTTTTTGTTTTGTTTCGTCCCATAGAACGAGTTGGAATTTCATATGACTCATCATTGTTGAGGTCAATCCCTCCAATACGCGTATCAGAAGATTGATTGTGGGTTGACTTCATACTTTTGCTTCGTTTTGACATCTGCGCGTAATCATCAGGACTTTTTAGATCTAGCCATTCTCGATTGCCTTCACCACTCCCCAAAACGGCTTATTGGCAAAAGATCTTCCGACTTTCCCCTTGTAAATCTGACAAACTTTAGCCATGATATCCACCTTAGTTGCACCGCTTTGGGGGTTGCAGATCATGTTCAGGTGGATGTCGTTGAACTCCATTGCAGCTCAGTTGGCGGTTATCCATTCCGAGTAATGTGAATCGGCATTGCGGTACTACCTTTTCATGTGTTGTCAAAAATTATGCCAAACTTTTGCTTTGAAGGTTGTTGACTCTTGGTCGTTGTCGTGGATCGGGTCCTTCGAAACATCTATCCATAACTGTGCTAGTGTCCTCTCTTCATCATCCATCCACCCTTTACATGGAGCTCTCCGTTGTCCTTTTTTGTACTTGTAGTTCGACTTCGGGCTCTTGAAATGACTCTTGAACGAGATCTTTAACGGGGCCTTTATCGGAAGAATCGGTTGACTCGTCGACTGCGTAGCGTGGTTGAGATTGAAAATTACTCTGCGGTTGAGGTTAAGAAAAGAATTAAGTTTCTTAAACTATTTCAAATAGATCAAGATCGACATTAGGACTAGGTGTTGGTTGAGATTGGTTGTGATAAAACTGTTAGGTCATAATTTGTTGGTTTGGGCTAGGCATTTATCTGTATAGGTCTGTTAGGGTATTAGGTCATGTATTTGGTGTTTGCGGATGGTGTTCACGGTTGTAAGGTGTTCACGGCCGTGAACATGTTCACTGTCGTGAACCCGTTTGCGGTTGGTCGTGTCTTATAAATAGTGTCATATTGTGTCAGAGTTACTGTTGGCTGTCAGATGTGTGTGTGTGTGTTCTCCAAGTGTGCTTGAAGTTCATGGTTAATAGAATGTGTGCATTGTTGTAAATATCTTTGCTTCTTCTCCTTCTAATCTTTATTGTTTCTAGCATCTTGATTGTGTTTTGATCACTGGTTGGATCTCGTTTGTGGGACTTACAATTGGTATCAGAGCCAATCCGGTGTCAAAAGCACTCAAGTGGTGTTCTCAGCTAGAGTAATTTTCAATTACGTGACTGTTTTAGCTTGTTTACGGGGTTTCTGCATTAGATTGTGAAGATTCAAGCAAAAAAGATTGAAATCTGCTCGAAATCTACTGTTCTTGGTGTTTACGGTTTCATCTGTTGAAGTGTTTACAGCCGTGAACTCCGTGTACGGTCTTGAACCATTTACTTCATCAACCATGTTCTTCTTAGCTAGCAGTGAATCATTCATCTTCATTACCCGTGTTCATCCTTATTGATCGTGTTCATCTTTATTGATCGTTATGGATAGTGTTAGATTGTATATGAGTTACTATTGGTTGTCAGAAGTGTGTGTGTGTTCTCCAAGTGTACTCGACGTTCACGGTTAATAGAACGTGTTCATTGTTGGAAATCTCTTTGCTTCTTCTCATTCTAATCTTTATTGTTTCTAGCATCTTTATTGTGTTTTGATCACTAGTTGGATCTCGTTTGTGGGACTTATAATTGGTATCAGAGCCAATCTGGTGTCAAAAGCATTCAAGTGGTGTTCTCGGCTGGAGTAATTTTCAATTACGTGACTGTTTCATCTTGTTTACGGGGTTTCTGCATTAGATCGTGAAGATTCAAGGCAAAAGGGATTGAAATTTACTGTTCTTGGTGTTTACGGTTTCATCTGTTGAAGTGTTTATGGTCGTGAACCATTCAACTTCATCAACCATGTTCTTCTTAGCTGGCTATGAATCATTCATCTTCATTACCCGCGTTCATCATCATTGACCATGTTCATCTTCATTGACCGTGATCCACTCATTGCCAGTGAACCGTGAATTAATTTGACCATGAAAAGCTTGTGAACCGTGAACTATCTGTGAGCCGTGAACTTTTGAACCGTGAATCAATTTGATTGTGAAAAGCTTGTGAAATGTGAACTGTCTGTGAGCCGTGAACTTGTGAACTGTGAATCATTGTCTGTGTACGACTGTGAACACTTTACAGCCGTGAACTCTTTTCGGTTATAATCGTTTATGGTTGACTTTCATTATAAACCTTTATTTTCAATTAAGAAAACTTAGAAAATAAAAAAAATGGACTCACAAACTTTGACTGCTCATCAAGAATTGGATTCCATTATGGGGACAACTACGCGCATTCCATGCTTGTTATCTGTTGAGGGTTTCCCTGAATTGAAATATCGCATGGAAAAATACATAAAGATGAAGGACTTCAATATTTGGAGAAGCATCTTGAAAGGACAGGTTCGAATCACCACAACACCTGAAGATGGAACAGTCCTTGACAAGGCATTTGAAAACTACACCGATGAAGACTTTGAGAAGATCGAAGAGCAAGAGAAAGCACTCACTATACTCAC